AGGGAAAGCTTTTGCATAAATCGTAAATGATTGTTAACACTTTCAGAGTACTGAAGAACAAGGCTGTATAAGCAGTTACGCCTATTTTAGAGGTTCTGTGTATTTGACAAAAAGCTTGTAGTTTTTTTACCAAGGAACTTGTACGGATGTTTCTTGTTTCTAGATTGGACTAAAGGTACTAAAGATGACAAAACCCCTTTTTTAATACCATATAATTTTTCTTTTTATAGTGTGCTTTCACTCCTGTTGAGCACTTTTCTTCCCCCCCATATCAGATTGGCACAAATGATGATTGTGAAATAGAGCTCCAGTACAGGAAAACAACTTGATCAAGGCTGTTTCTAATATAACGTTCGATAACACTATAAAACTATTCCAAAGTACAATTAGAATGTAATGTTTTGAAGATTACCTCAAAAGCACGCTAAGAGATTTAAATTCCAGCTTTTTTTTTTAAGCTCAGAGTTTGAGAGGAACCATGAAGCTTAAGTACTTAGAACATAAAATCTTCAATGGTGGTCGGTTTGCTTTGTGTGCCACATTTGAGAGGGGATGCTTCACCAGTTCTTAGGAACTCTTCACTGCTGAGTTTTATTCTCGAAGCCCCTTCCTGAAACCCACAAGGTTTTTTTGTTTTAATTTACTTGTCTCTACTCAATCTTGCTGTGTAACTCTGGCTCTCCTGTAAACCAGAGAGGAAAATCTTAAACAACGTGTATAGTATTCTCCCCCTACTTTAAAATAAAACCATTCTAAACAAGAAGCTTAGCTTTCGTTCTTGGCTTTGGAGAAAGCGTTATTAATGGAAAATAGCTTGATTTTTTTTTTCCTTTGAACTTTGAAACCATCTCCTTATTATGATTTAGATTTCTATCCAAAATTTAATTTAGGTACCTTTGAACATATGCAAAGAATCCATGGAGGACTGAGGTACTACTTAATTTGTGTTATGTACCCAGGACTCTTGACCATACTCTGAAAGATTTAACACCTAAACCAAACTTTGATCAGTAATTATGAAAGGGATGGTAAGAAACAGTATGAATTGGAATAAAATTGTGTTTAAACTACGTAGATACCATCAATGTCAGGTTTCTGTTTGCTTATGTGTATGATCCATTAGGTACTATGTAAGTGCTCACTAAGCTTTTAGAAAGATTGACATACAAATAGTTTAATAAAATAATCTCTCGCTTTGCTGATGTTGAAATGGGAAATTAAAACTTAAATTTAATAAATAGCAGTATTTGCACTTCCATAATGCATGAGATCTTTCTAACCTTCAGTCTTGGATAAAGGATCAGGATGAAAAGAATTTAGTACCTGCAGGTCATCTGTTGAAGATTATTTCCTAATTGGTTTGTATGTGTTTTCCAAGGACGGATGCATCCTCGGTTGCAGAAATCTGCGTGACAGAGCAGGAGTTTGGATCACTGGGTTGCAGGAGGCACTTGTAGCACTAACAATAAATTCACTGCTTGGGGCTTAAAGAACAAAGTGTTCTTGCAGCTAAACCCACCATTTCTGTAATTATTTCTACATAAACCTAAACTCATTCAAGAATTTAGGTCTTGCTTTTTAGAACTAAGCACACACTCATCACTCTAACCCTAATTTAATAATTTCAAAAAGGGAAAATATTTTTAATTTAAAGAAGTATTTATTTTTATGAAAACATGAATAAGTGAAGAACCATAGCATTTACTGCTGGTGGCCAGTAATGTATGCTGGGGAGGACTATTTGAAACCTTAGTCTCTGGGGATCTGTATTTGAGACAGTGAATAGGTCAGTGTTTCTGAAGGAGCAGCGTGGATGCTGCCCTTCAACACAGATAATTCGCCGCCAGTAAGATAGCTCTGGACTTCTCTTATTTTAGTTTTGTCTGCTTTTGATAAAAACCCCACATTTTACCTATTTCCAGAAGTACATAAAAGTATGTACTTCCAGATAAGGTAAATACTGTAAGGGGGGTGGGAAGAAATAATTTTGCTAGTACATTTACCAAGCCAGAGGTGACTTTCCTCACTCTTGAAAATGAAAGTTACTGTTGCTCCATTGTTTGCTGCATTTTCAAACTGTGGCACTACTGGAAAAGGGATATGGTACTTGGACAAGTGACAGTTTTTGTTACGCTAAAACTCTTGAAACTTTCCCACCATTAAGGCTGGCAATAGCTGGACTGTTAGAGTGAGCTGCTGGTTGCAAGTGCCCTAAGAAAAAACACTTATACATGGCACCTCATGCCTACAAACTCATCCCTTAGCCCTCTGATGTGGTTCCTGTAGTTCCAAGTTCCAATGTTCCAAGTCCCGTTTTTCCCTCCTGGAAGGGCAGTTTCTGTTGGTGCTGGGTGCTCTTGGCCATGCAATGGAAACATGGGTGCCACAGGCCCTGCTGGTTATGGTCCTTGTGTGTCACCACTTGGGTGACACTGGAGGCTGCAGACGTGGTGTGCTCTGGTCACTGCACATTGGCTGCTGTCTGCTGGTGTGGCACAGGCTTGGGACAGCGGAGGAGCTCCTGAGGTCCCAGCTGGGGTCTCTGCTTCTGAGGCCAGACCTGATTTCTGTTCCTCTCTTGTGTCTTCTGAAGTGTATTGGAAAGGAGGCTGCATGCTGTGAAACTTGTAAGAAGAAAGGAATAAAATCTTATTTTGGGCTTTGGAATAATAGAATTAGCCAGGTCTTTGTAGTTTTAACCATCTGCACCATATTTGCTAGCTAGAGTAAAAGCTGTTAAAACCGGAGAAAATAACCTGCTCAAGAACTAGGCTCTAACTAAAATTAAACAAATCAACAAATTAATTATCTGGCAGGCCCAATAGGGTTCATATCAAGGAGCTGGCAAGAATTACCAGTCCCTGACTGGCAGATGTGGCTGCATGCGAAATAGGCATCATAATCCTTTTGGCTCTTGCAGGGCAGAAACTGAAAAGCGAGAGCTTTTCTTATCCCAGTTTAGTTGGTGTCAAATTCCATTAGTATGTGTTTCATTCCATGGGATTTTTGGAAAAATACTATGAATGGGGTTTGTCTTAATTTTATTATATACTTCTAGCATTAATTCAGACTGTGGAAGAGCAAACTGATGTGTGGGATTATTGAATCAAATGTGTTGCTCTTCTCAATTTTAAAACCGGTCTAAACTGCAGTGATTGTGAATTTCTTTTGATGTCTCTAAAATAGGCAAAAAAACCCAAAAAAAGTAGTGTAGTCCATTCAGGTTTAAATTGTGAGTTCGTAGCAGAAATCTGACAGATTATGCTAAATACTCTTTCCAGGTTGTTTTTAGTAAGGACTCATAAGTATATCATATCTCATTAGGAAATGATTAAGTTTATTTAAAAGAAGCCATACACAATCTCTGTGCCACTTGCCCTGTGCGTGCTCTGCTAATAAATAAAGAACGTCTGTTTTTCAGGAATCACAGTGTAATGTTAAACACTGAGTGCTGTTCTCTCTTATCCCTAAGAAAAGTGTGTACTTAATCAGGATCATACATCTTTAATTCTTATGAGTTAGGTAAATTCTGTTAGTATTTGATATAAGGTCATATGTTAGGTAGTTTAGAAGATATGCTGTTGCTTTTTGT